GCAACCTCCAACTCCTGGGCTCAAGCGAGTCTCCTGCCTCCGCCTCCCAAGTAGCTAGGACCACAGGCGCCCGCCACAACGCCCGGCTATTTTTTGTTTGCAGCCATCATTGTTGTTTGGCGGGTCCAGGCTAGGGATTCGAACCTGCCACCTTAGGTGTACATGGCTGGTGCCTTAGCCGGTTGAGCTATAGGCGCCGAGCCCAAGAAATATTTCTTAGTGAAATTGTAGGACTGAAAATATAAAATTCTAAAAGCTTCCAGAACAGGAAAAAAAAAAAAAAGCAGTTTACAATAAAAGGATTGAGAATCAGGAAGGCATGAAACTTTTCCACACATCAGAAGATAGTAGCAATTTAGCAATTTTCTCCAATTTAGAACTAAAATAACTTCCAATCTATAACTCTCTATATAACTAAACTACCAAATAAATGTGAAAGTAGAAAGAAATATACAACAGAACCTCTATAGTTGACCACCTTCCTACCTTGACCACCTCCTTAAGTTGACATAATTCTCATAGATCAGACGTGCACCACATGTACCTATCAGTACAGTAGGCCTGGTTGCTTATGTTGACCCCCTCCAAATGTTGACAAGTTTGTTACTGTCCCTTGGCGCTCACCTTCCACAGGTTCTACTCTCAGTGTGTGTGTGTGTACACTAGACACAAACTAAAAACACGTATCCCTTATGCAGTATTTCCCAGGAAACTGTGCTGAGTGTGTTCCACCAAATGAGTGAGTAAGCCAGAAAGATGGCGGTGGATCCAGGAAATGGGGAGAACAACACAGGAGAGAAACAGTGGGAATCTCCAGGAAGACGGTGAAGAAAGATCCCAGGATCCTAGATTGACTATCAGGACAACACAGGACAAGTAGTTCAGATTAGAGAAGGTCAGAAGGTTTCCCAAGAGATCACAAAGATGCAAATGGTGGGATATTTGGTAGATCTGAAAGACGTAAGAGGAGATTTAAACATTTAGGAGAATTTTAAGATGAGCTGATGCTATATATATAAAAATCTAAGCCTAAGGCTATAATTAAAAGAAAATTAATGTTGGTGAGGATATGGAGACTTGAAACCGTATAGTAGGAACTATATTAAAATATTATTAATTTATTATTATTAAATTAATTATATTAATTATAATAAAATAATTATTAACTGTTAAATTAATTAAATGTTATTAATTAATATAATTATTTAATATTAACTATATTAAAATAATGAAAATGCTGTGGAAAACCGTTTGGTAATTCCTCAAAAAATTAAATGTAGGATTATTAATAACCCAGCAATCCCACTGTTAGGTAGATATTCAAATGAATTGAATACAGGTACATACGCCAACAGACACCTCTACACCAGGAGTCCTCAAACTTTTTAGATAGGGGGCCAGTTCACTGTCCCTCAGACCGTTGAAGGGCCGGCTGTGGGCCCCGGGACGAGTCGGCTGCTAAGCAGGACAGGCAGCAGTGGCAAAAACACCCGGTGGGCTGGATAAATGTCCTAGGCGGGCTGTAGTTTGAGGATGCCTGCTCTACAAGAATGTTCCTATCAGCACCATTCACTATAGCCAAAAAGTGGAAATGACCCAATAAAATGTATTGTATACATATGGAATATTATTTGTCTACAAAAGAAATGAAGTACTGATACAAGCTATGACATGGATAAACCCCCAAACCATGAAGACCTTAAGTGAAAAGGTCCTACTGTAGGCTTCTTTATATATGAAATACCCAGAATAGGTTAAGTCCACAGATACTAAGTAGGAAGGCTCGGCCAGCAGGGTGTCGAGGGAACAAGGGGATGAGAGAGGTAAAGATTCATTCTTCATAGCACGAGTCAGAGAAGTGAGGAAAGACTTAATCCACCGATGAAAATAAAGGAGGAAATGAGGGACAAAATTGTGAAAGTTCACATAGGCAGTGAACATTCACCCTACTCACTTGGGAAAATATTTGGTGTGATCCTCTAATGGGTCATCACCTTCCTTCCAGTTCTCCAAACATCCTCCACAAGAAAAACACTGGACAATGTCTTTTATCCCTAGAAATGAGGAAAATTGATCAGTGCCATCTGCGTGTGCATTTGTCAGCTGACAAGCAAGTAATAACTACCAGACCCTTTACTGGGGAAACCTGACCCACATCTCCATTTGCGTTTTGTGAAAAAGTCACAAGTTGGGTCACCAGTGTTCTACACAGGACACTTCATCCCCAAATGGGAGGATCAGCAAATAGTCACCGGATGCTCCTATGCACCACACGTTTGCTATGACGCCACTCTACCCAGGGTGACAGAGTAAGGCTCTGTCTCAAAAAAAAAGAAAAAAAAAGGAAGAAGAAGAAGAAATGGAGCCTGCATCATCTTTTCTTTTCTCTTCCTTTCCTTTCTTTCTTTCTTTTTTTTTTTTTTTCTGAGACCAGGTCTCATTTTGTCACCCTGGGGTTGAGTGACATGGTATCATAGGTCACAGCAACCTCAAACTCTTAGACTCAAGCAATCCTCTTTGCGTCAGTCTCCCAAGTAGCTGAGACTACGGACACCTGCCACAATGCCTGGCTCGTTTTTCTATTTTTAGTAGAGACGGGGCTTATTCTTGCTTAGGATGGTCTTGAATTCCTGAGCCCAAGCGATCCACTCGCCACGGCCTCCCAGAGTGCTAGGATTGCAGGCGTGAGCCAAGCCCAGCCTGCATCATCCTGCATCATCCTGCATCATCTTTCCACTCTAGGAAGGCTGAGGCAGAGGAAAGCCTCCCTTTGTGGTTGGCAAAAAAATACGAGATTCTAAAACTTACAAATCCCTACAAGGGTCAGAAAACTAGGATTTGGAGGGAGAGATGGAAGATCTCTTTAAAAAGGAAGAGGGTGAGGACGCTGGACAGAAGGCCCTCTGTTGAGGCAAGAGGAAGACACCAGGGTAGGGAGAAATGGGAGAGTATTCTCTTTCCAAGGGCTTTCGGAATGTGAAGCAGTAAGACTTTTTGTACCAATAGAATGTCTGTTCAGTAAAGTGCCAACCGCATTCCCTTTCTCTGTACTGCTCCGTGATATTTTTAATATCTACTTGATCTCTTAAAGATCTGCATTTACCTCCACTGTAACTCGGGAGTGTGTTTCATCTGAGGAAGACCAGCAAGGTACCTAGGAAGGGCACAAGATCCTTTCCCTCATCACAGGTACCTCAGGCAGAGATTTCACCGAGGTGAAAGAGCCCACGCTTTGTGGATTACAGAATGCAGCTTCCTGAGGACCAGCAGCTAAAGGAGAATCCTATGAACTGGTGGAAAATGTTGCATGCTTAGGAATCACAAAAATGAATTTCCAGATTTTCTTCTCCAAGCAGAGAGTGTGCAAAGACTGCTATCCACACTCCCAGTATCTCCCATTCTTCCATAGTAATAGAAACCCCAAATTCTAGCTGGGCACATTGCTACCAGGGCAAAAAAAATAGGTTTCTATCTCTTAAAAAAACAAAACAAAACAGATTCTTGCTTTATTACCTGGGCTAGAGTGCCTTGGCATCAGCCTAGCTCACAGAAACCTCAAAGTCCTAGATTCAAACAATTCTCCTGCTTCAGCCTCCCAAGTAGCTAAAACCAGAGGCCGGTGCCACCATGCCCAGCTCATTTCTTTTTTCTTTTTTTTTTCTTTCATAGCTTTTTATTAAATCATAATTTTGGTTTTTTTGTTGTTTTTTTTTTTTTTTTTTGAGACGGAGCCTTAAGCTATCCCCCTGGGTAGAGTGCCATGGCATCACGCTCACAGCAACCTCCGACTCCTGGGCTCAAGCGAGTCTCCTGCCTCAGCCTCCCAAGTAGCTGGGACTACAGGCGCCCGCCACAACTCCTGGCCATTTTTTGGTTGCAGCCATCATTGTTGTTTGGCGGGCCCGGGCTGGGGATTCAAACCCGCCACCTTAGGTGTATGTGGCTGGCGCCTTAGCCGCTTGAGCCACAGGCGCCGAGCCTAAATCATAATTTTGTACATTGATGCATTTATGGGGTTCAGGGTACTGCTTTGATATACAATGTGAAATGCTTACACTGAACTAAGTAACACATCCATCACAATTATACTTATTTCTTAATAGTTTTGAAATGTACCATTGCATCATGCACATTAGATGAGGACTCCCCAAATACTCTCCCTCCTCCCATGTCTCCCCTCCTCTCTCTCCTCTTCCCTTCTACTTTCTGGGCTATAGTTTATGTTTTGCCATTCATATGAGAGTGTAGGTGATTACATATTGATTTCATAGTAGTATTGAGTACATTGGATACTTTTTTTTCCACTCTTGAGATACTTTACTAAGAAGAATATGTTCCAGCTCCATCCAGGTAAACATAAAAGACGTGATGGCTCTATCTTTTTTATGGCTGCATAGTATTCCATGGTGTACATATACCACAATTTGTTAATCCATTCATGGGTCAATGGGCACTTGGGCTGTTCCCATGTCTTGGATATTATAAATCAGGCTGCAATAAACATTCTCATGCCCAGCTAATTTCTCTGTTTTTTTGTAGAGATGAGGGTCTTGCTGAGGGGAGGGTGTCTCACTCATCTTATACTCCTGAGCTCAAGTGATCCTCCCACTTTGGCCTCCACAGGGTGCTAGGATAACAGGCATGAGCCAGCACAGGGCCTCTCAGCTCCTCTTACAGCTAAGTATGTCCATCCAACTAAGTTGTGGTTAAGGAAATATAAGCATAAGTGTTCTGTGATAGTTTCTGGGAACCGTCCTTTACAGGAGTTGGAGGACAGTGAGGAGAGAATGTGTAGTAAGAAAAGACATGATATCTACCCCAAACAGAGTACTTGTATTCATTGTGAGTCCAGAACCTAAGGTTTCAAACTTGGAGCTTCACCACTGAAGGGAGGCATGGAAAAATGGGAGAGGATTTATGGGGTAGCAAGGAAAGGATCTAAAAGAAATGCTGAAAAGAGTGGCGACTGCTAAGTGTAGGTAAGCGCAAGCCCATGATCACAGTCACATATGTGGGGTTTACAAGACCAAGCAAACCAGTGGGCACAAACCGACTCACCTGTGTAGAAAAGACCTGCTTTGGCTAGAGCTGCAACTCCTGCAGATGATTCCTGGGGCCAGTTCTTAAAGGAGTCCAGCCGCAGTTCTTCATTAGCAAAGACGCTGTCATTGCAGTAAGCTTGAAGAAGGAGATAGGGTGAGATCGGTAGGATTTGATGTTACAAGCATCCGTGTCCAAGCTGTCCCTTTGCATTTACAGATGGAATGATGTGATATATAGAGTTTGCTTCAAAATAATCAGGAGTAGGCTTAGAAAAGAAGGAAGGGGCTTGGCGCCTATAGCTCAACCGGCTAAGGCGCCAGCCAC